GAGGTGTTTATAAACCTGCTATCTGGCCTTTTGATCACTGGGGGCCCCAACCCTGGCTCCACCCCTGCAATCCACAACTTGCAGATTGTAATGACCATTTTCTCATGAGACGAGCAAGAGAAGCATGAAGAGAAGCTTCAGCACCACGGAGGCCCTTGCAATGGTCATTGATTCTGATGGGATGGAATCTGACCCCCCACAGGATCCATCATCATTGTCTGGCCTGTTTTGTTTGAGGGGTGAATCTACTGCCTGGCTGTGGGATGTGGATCTCTCCTGGAACCGGAGAAAGTGATTCAGGAGGAGGCTTTTCCTGGAGGACCTGGGAACGGCTTTGGTGTTAAAAAGAACTAACAAAACCTGTGAGTTCTGTGTGAAACACATCTGGCATGAACACAGAGTGATCTCCTGCAGGTCTTGCTTCAAACACTGAACACACACACACACACACACACACACACACACACACACACACACACACACACACACAGAGCTGAGTTCTGCCTCAGCACATTACGACCAAGCTGGTACCGAAAGAGAATGTGAGTATAGAAAAGACATGAATAGTGCAAGTGTTTTTATGAGTGTTTTATGAAAGTTTCTATGAAATTAGACATTACATAAAATGCATCATAGTTTCTTTTTTTTTTAAACTCTTTATTTCTCAGAATTTCTTTTAACAACAAAGGTGTGAGATGGAAATACAAACAAACAAAAAAGGACTAAACAAACAATAAACAATAAAGAGGTCATGGGGTGTATATCACAGGCATAGCGGGTAAATATACATTTCAAGTACAAGAAGTCATCTTTTTTTCTTTTTTCCTTTCTCACAGTTTTCAAATGAGGTCCGAGACACCATGTAAATAGCTCACCCCTTTCTCCTAATTCCTTCTGAAGTCTAAGGGAAAAGGTCATCTGTTCCAGGAGATGTAAATGATTCACAATACTAACCAATAGATCCATAGTAGGAGACTTTTCCTGAAGCCAGTTCCTGGTAATAGCTTTTTTAATTGCCACAAGTAAGACCTTGAATAGATAATAATCATCCTGAGAAAGTCCGTCCGGGAGTTGACCAAGATATAAGGATTCAAATGTACCACTGACGGTAAAACCCATCACCTTCGAAATCAGTTCTGTCGCTTCCTTCCAGAAGGGTTGCACTACAGGGCAGGACCAAAACACATGTGCATGGTCCACAGTTGTATTTCCACATTTCCTCCAGCAATCTAGTTGGCTGCCTGTTTGCTTGCCCTTCTGTTTAGGTGTTATGAAGAAGCGGATTTGGTTTTTCCAACAAAAGTCTCTCCATGATAATGAGTTAGTTGTTGTTGACTGTGTCTTCCAAGTGTCCAACCATAACTCATCACTTATCTCGATGTCCAATTCTTTTTCCCAACGTTGTTTTGTATATATTGTAGAGTCCTTTTTCAGTGACATAATACCATTATAGAGTTTGCTTACAAGACCTCTCATGCTTCTTGAGTTATAAGCCTCAGTGAAAACAGTAATTATAGATGGTGTTAATCCCGGGTTAGACCCTTTTATTTTTTTGTCAAAGAAATTCCTTAGTTGAAGATATCTATAAAAGTCTTGTTTTGTTAGACCATATGTCCTACTTAAGTTTTCAAAACTATCGATGTCTCCATTTTTTATCAACCTACACATGGAAGTTATACCCAGATGGACCCATTGTCTGTACCTACTATCTAGCAGTGCTGGTTTATATTCAGAATCAAACGCTGGCCAGCTTAAAAGCTTGGCCTCTTTCTGGAGTTGAAATTGTTTGACCACTTCTAACCAAATTTTAAGTGACAGGTTCACCCACTGGCTTGCTGTTTGAAACATCTCCTTGTTTCCATCTGTAGAGCCTAACAATGACTGTATTGGTTTATCCATTAAAGAACATTCTATATCTTTCCATTTAGCAGTATAGGACGGGTTACACCAATACACAAGAGGCCTCAACTGTGCTGATAGGTAATAGACCCTTAATGATGGGAGAGACATGCCTCCCCTCTCTCGAGGCAGTTGTAGGGTAGAGAATCTCACCCTTGGTCTTTTCTTGTCCCAAATAAAACGTGAGATGTGTTTATTCCACTCTCTGAATTGTTTCAAGGGTATTTCCACTGGTAATGACAAGAATAAATATAATAATCTTGGTAAGATCACCATTTTGACTGATCTTATTCTGCCACCGAGGTCAAGGGGAAGCACGCTCCATCTGTCGAGATCATCATACATTTTCCTAGTAGCACTCTTATAGTTGACATCGTATAATTGTGTTAGGTCTTTAGGCAAGTTAACACCTAAATATTTGATGTGGGTTGAGTGCCAGTTGAATTTATATTTTGTCATGAATTCCCGTGTAGGGTTGTAGTTAAACGTTAAGACTTGGGTTTTGCTTATATTTAGAACATATCCAGAATAGGACCCATATGTTTCCAACAATTCCATCAATATAGGAAGTCCCGACCCCGGGTCTTCGATTGTGACGATTACATCATCCGCGAACATACCGACCTTATATTCTTTTCCTCTTATATGTATTCCCTTCAACCTAGTCTCCTCTCTAATTGCTTGGGCCAGAGGTTCGATGAATAAATTAAAGAGATAAGGAGAGGCCGGACATCCCTGTCTAGAACCTCGTTCTAGTGCTATGGGGTCTGAGAGACTACCATTTATCTTAATTCTTGCAGTGGGAGCAGAATAGATTGCCTGGATGCAGCGTGTAAAATCCTCACAAAAACCAAATCTATTCATTGTTAAGTACAGGAATTCCCAGGATAGGCTATCGAACGCACAGCGAGCATCCAGGCTGATAACCATGGCACCCATATTTTCCTTATTGATTTGTTCAATAACATGCAAAGCCCTCCTAATATTATCCTGAGTCATTCTTTGTTTCAAGAATCCACTCTGGTCCTCATCGATGAGGAAGTCCATTGTCTCCCCAAGCCTTTTTGTTAAGATGGCAGCATATAATTTATAGTCAGTGTTCAAAACACTTATGGGTCTATAGCTCCCACATTCCTTTTTATCCCTTCCCTCTTTATGTATGACAGATATGTAGGCTTCATTCCATGAGGGGGGAATGGTATTTTCTTTCAATACATAATTGAAGCATTTCTCCAGTAGGGGAAGTAGTTGTTCCTTCATACATTTATAGAATTCGTTTCCGAACCCGTCCGTACCAGGGCTCTTATTAATGCTCGAACTAGAGATGGCTTCATCTATTTCTCCCTGTGTTATTGGGGCGATTAGTTTTTCATTCATTATTGTGCCAATTGAGGGAAGATCCAACGATTCAAGGAAATCTACAATTGTTTGTTTGTCTGCCAAATTAGGCTGGGAGTACAATGATTTAAAATGTTTTTCAAATGCTTTCTGTATGCCATCCATATTACTAACTATTTTATTTGTGGTTGGGTCCCTGATTTTATGTATAGTGTTTTCAGCCTGTTGTTTCCTAAGCTTCCAGGCCAGCAATCTTGCCGCTTTTGGGCCGGCCTCATAGTACCTTTGCTTCAGGAACCTTAAATTTTTCTCCACTTCTTCACTCATTATTTATGGCAGGTCCCTTGTTTTGTACTTGTGACTGTTCTAATTCTCGTAGGTTTTCTTGAAGGCTTAACAATTTATGTGCTTTAGCCTTTTTTATCATGGCTGTGCGGGCTATAATCTTCCCTCTAATCACTGCTTTGGCTGCATCCCATAGTATACCTGGATCGACATCTCCAGTATCATTATTTTGTAAATAAGTAGTTATTTCTGACTCCATTTCTTCTTTGAAGGCATCAGAATTCAGAAAGTTGGTGTTCATTCTCCAAAGTGTTTTCCTTTTTCTACTATCCAAATGAAAAGTTAAATAGACCCCTGAGTGGTCAGATATATCTCTCTGGCCCACTCTACATTCTTTCAGTCTGTGCAGATCTCCCTTATTTGCAAAGATATAATCTAGCCTTGAGTGTACAGAATGCCTTGCACTATAGAAGGTGTAACCCGGGGTCGATCCATGTATAGCACGCCACACATCAATCAGACCCAGGTCCACCAGCATTTTATTTATACGTTTCTCTATAGGAGTTCTCTTTCTTTGTTTGTTGCTGGAATCGTTAGAATGGCGAAGGATGTTTAGATCTCCTGCCATAAGCAATGTACCACGGGTCTCTGAAGCAACCAATTCAAATATCTTTTTGAAAAAGGACATTTTACTCCCTGGTGGAGCATAAACATTAAACAATGTCACATCTTTTTGATCGATTTTTCCCTTTAAAAGGACATATCTACCCTCATTGTCAATTATTTTGGATATTAGTTCAAATCGAGTTGCATTGGAGATCATAATAGTAACACCTCTCTTTTTACCATTCTTATATGAGGAGGAGACAGTATTTTTAAAACCCATCTTTTTAAGCTTTTCATGTTCCACATCAGATAGATGGGTTTCCTGCCAGAAGGCGATATTAATCTTCTCCTTTTTCATTTTTGCAACCATTTTGCTCCTTTTAATGGGGCTATTCAACCCATTTACATTTAATGAGACTAAATTGTAATGCTGGAAATGCATAATTTGTCTTTTTTTAAGACCTGTTCAACCAATATGCATTGTAATTCCCCATACCTTGAGTAAACGGATAGTAGAGATTCGGAACTGTGTCTTCCCAGACCTTGACAGCTTTCTCGTACATCAAAGAATAAATACCACATCTGTAATACCCCAGACCTCAAGAAAAAAACAAAAAACATGAAAAAACAGTAACAGTATAAAGAAGTTCCCAATGTAAATGAAGGCATCAAGAAAGGGCCTCCTGTAACGAGGGGTGCAGGCCACTAAGTGGGGCCCCTGGTAAGCAAAAAGAAACCAGAAAACTGGTGGATGGGACAAACATTACTAAGCACCAGCTTTTATCAACATCTTTAAACTCAATGAAAGGATACTGCCGTTGTAGAGTCAGCTATAATACACCTCGAGCTTTATGTGGTCGGGGTTAGGACGTTCACGCTTCTGGTAGGTCTGTATCTTCAGTTTCCATACTGCTGCGTTCGCTCTGCTTCTTCTGCATCTGTTGTTGAAATTTCTCCTTGGCCCCAGGGTATTGGGGCCCTGTTGTTTCCCATGGAAGAAGCTCAGCCAACCTTTTCTCTGTTATGCCTTTCTTCTTCTTATTCTTGGGGGTGAAGTTCTCCACGGTGTATCCCCTGCTTCTGAGGTCCTTCACTGCTTCTGCTGCGCTGTTGTATGTGGTGTAGGTACCCTTCTCGAATTCAACCCGCATTTTGGTCATCGGTGTTTTGAAGGGTATTTTCTTGGCTGAGAGGGCCTTTTTGATGGGTACATATTCTTGTCTCTTTTTTTGCACAGCATCTGCGTAGTCGTGATCAAAATAGACCCGTTTGCCCTGGACACAGGGCTTTTTTGCCCAGGCTGTGTGGAGGACTTCTTCTTTCACTGCGAGCTGGAGGAACCGTACTATCATGGAGCGCGGCGGAGCACCTTCGGGCGGTTTTGGGCCAACTCTATAAGCTCTTTCTATTCCAGGGTTCTGGTTCTGGACCAGATCTGTAAGACCCAGTTCAGTCTTTATCAGGTTTTCCATAAATTTGACTGGAGAGTCCTTTTCTACTCCCTCAGCTAGAGAATAGCAGCGTATATTATTTCTACGTGCCTGTTGTTCAATTGAAGTCAGTTTATCTTCTAAAGCCCGCTGGTCAGAGAGAAGTTGAATGAGAGTGTCTTTGACTCCTATGTCCCATTTCTCCATAAGAACAAAACTTTCCTCAATGTCCTCCATTCGTTTCTCTGCTACATCAACTCGGGCTGTAGAGTCATGCATCTTCTTGTTTATTTCCGCTTTAAACTCCTCCATTTGTTTTTTAAGATCTCCCCGGAGGCAGTCCCTGAATTCAGAGAGCTCTTTTTTCATTTCGGTTTGGATTGTAATTAGCCCCGCTGCCATTGCTTCACTCACCGCATTCTTTAGAGTAGCAGCATCCATTATGTAGGGTTGATTACCAGCAGCGACGCCGCCGCCGCCACCACGATCTCCACTCTGTGTTGAAGTTTTCCCGGCGTCTGTATCGCTGGCGTCGCCACCTCCACCTCTCCGTGGTGTTGTTTTGGTGATGCTTGCTCCTTTACTAGCACCGGCGCAGCCTAAGCCACCGCGACTCCCGTCTTGTGTTGTTGTATTCCCGGTCGCGCCGCCAGTGCCGCCGTCTCTTCTCAGTGTTGTTGTTTTGGTGGTATTTGTTCCTCCAACGCTGGTGCAGCCGAAGCCACCACGATCTTTGCCTTGTAGGGTCGTGTTCTTGTCGGCGGTCACGCCGCCAGCGCTGCTTCCTCCTCCTCCGAGGTCTCCTTTGTGTGTTGTTTTCTCGGCGTTCACGCCGTTCCCGACTGCCAGCTCCGCGGTGTTTTTTCGTAGCATGTATCCTTTTATTTGCATCTGTGTCTTTTCCCCACTCTTCATCCTTTCCATTGAATCACTCTGAATGTTTTAAAGTATTGAATCAAGGGGAATTATTTAAGCTGGTGCAAGAGCTCTGTAGCTACGCAGCCATCTTGTCGCGCGTCCTCCCGGAACCCCTAAATGCATCATAGTTTCTGAGGTTCCTAATCCTTCACGAGGCCAAGACTATGCAACGTGAAAAATCACCGGTTCCGGATTATGTTTTATGATGAAAATAGGTCATTTTTGTGTATTTTTCTACCATATCAGTGACATTATGCTTTGAATGGACCCTCAAAGGGTTAAAAAATGTTTTTAGATGAAACATTTACTAGTTTTGATCAAAGCAGAAGAAAATTAAGAGATATATGAAAAAAAAATGGAAAAAAAATTAACCCAATATGTTTTTACAGCAGTCAAAGTAAGTGGCCTTTTTTAGCCACTGAGCGTTAACAAAGGATAGAAAAAAATTTCCCAGCCCGTATTTTTGACCTGGTGAAAATTTTGAAGTCATATTTTCAAAGTGTCCATCAATATAGGCATCTGCACAAAAAATCATCCCATTTGCTGCAGTAAAAAAAAAGTTACATGGAAATTAGTGGCTAAATTTTGCCCCAAGTGGCTTTTTTTAGCCACACCGTTACATAAGGGATATATATATCCCTTATGTAACGGATATATATATCCCTTATGTAACGGTGTGGCTAAAAAAAGCATTTACACACACACACGTATATATATATATATATATATGTATAATGTTTCTATTTGCGACAGAGGCTGAGATATCAGTTTTTTTGTAAACCTCAACAGTTAAGAAAACCTCAGGACCTGGGGGCCCATCTAGGGTTCCCAACCGTACTGTAAAAAACGGGATCGTACCATATTTGAAAACAAAAAGACATGTCCCGTAATGAACTAAAATGGGATACTCCTTTTCCCAAATTTTCTGACAGCGTCTCTCTGCCTAACACACTGTCACAGGCTCACATCAGCAGCTTGGCAGCTGAGCTATGGGACAAGTTACAAAACACAGCAGACTACCAGCTATGGGTTGTTAACAAGAGCGTTATACTACACTATGCTGCAGCGAGGCTTTCAGTTTTACACAGCTCTGGACACAAGTACTTAGTAAAACAAAGAGGGGTGTGTGATTATGTCCTCTCTGGTTCCATAGGCAGTTTTAGGATTTGCCAACAGGGGGTGCAACTTGCCAGAGAAGTAAGTCTTTTCTTTTGGTTTGTTTTTTGCAAGGCCAAACCTGGAAGACTCATGTTTACTGATTTACAATAGGATGTGATGTTTTAGTTTGTAATATTTTAAGGAGGTTATATAATTAAGGTTAACTGTAATAAAGTGTTTGCACTTTGACTTCTTGAATAAGTCAAACATTGTTTCAATATGGTGACATTGCACTATATGTTCCATGAAGAATTATTATTTTGCACACAATAAATTCTTCAATGATACATTAACTGCGTTTCCATTACCCATAGATTTGCGCAAAACCTAAATATAGCAATAGAAAACTGGTAATGGAAACACCTAAATTTCAGAAAAAACTCTCAAATATCGCTAAAAAGTTTTTACGCTCTCATGAGGTGGTTTTTCAGACGTGTCGATATATAAGTATATCGCAAAAGTGTAATGGAAACACTATTCTTGCAATTCTCTGTCACCGGACGTGACGTAGCGGGTCAAGTGACCAGTTCATTTCAAGCGAAATGTATGTATGGACGGGGGAGGAGACAGAGTTATTTCTGAGGTTTTGAATTGTATTTGTATTTTTCTGAAGTTTTGAATCCACAATTCGTCCATGAATTCCTCATTAACAATCCTCCCCCAGAAATCCCTCATCCGTGTCCGCTCCCATACATATGGGTTTGAATACGGAAGTGAGCAGAATGACCGAACATGGAGCTAAACGCAGAGCTGAGGGCAGCAAAACAGATGTCAGCTGTGACTTTGGGTCATCCTCAGAAGATGTTATAGTTGAGGAGTTATTCAACGTCTCTCCAAAGTGACGTCGAGCAATTAAGCCGATAAACTGGCAACATAACAAATCTTTTCTCCTCGAGTGATTATGCGGGAAGCATGAAAATGCGAGCGGAGTCTGTACAGCCTGTCACTGCTGACGGTACGAGTAGCATTAGCAGTTTAGACTCAACTAGCGGTGCAGCCACCAGACCAAAGCAGCAATCAGTCATATCCATACCTGCCAACACTCCCATTTTCCCCGGGACTCTCCCCTATTTCAGACGTAGGCCTGTCACGATAACAAATTTTGCTGGACGATAATTGTGCTACAAATTATCGCTGATAAACGATATTATTGACACCGTTTTTTAAATTATACATAATGATATTATATGGCATAATAATGCGAGTACACCTTGTCAAAAGTGATAAACTTTAATTTCCACTGTCTGTCAGCGCGCACCATTTTGCGCTGTTTTGTTTTGTTTTTGCTTTGCTTACCAAACGCTTCGGTAAGCGGTACCTGTCGGGACGATGGCTCCGCAGCACCTCCGGCGGTACTTTTTTTGCTCAGTTGAGAAAAATGGAGGGGATGGTTGTGCTTGAGGTGCACATGCATGTTCGTCGTATTCCCCTTCTTTAGTCAAACCAAGATGGCGCCGGTGTGTGTGGCCTGCCGTCTCTCGCTGTCAGCGCTGTTCCTGTTTGTGCTGTTTGTGTCTTTCGTTATCAGTAAAGTAAGCTCACTGTATGTGTATGACCACCAAACACTGCTGGATCTTCGCCCCTCTGCCAAGGATTTGGTGAAAGTAGATCATGATCACTGTGGTCACACGACGTTTAAGCCGTTTCACCCCTCCGGTATACCTGCTCACCTTTGCTGCACTTTCGCTCCATTTCCACGGCGTAAACGCCGGCGCCGCCGTGGCAAACGCAGCGGCCGCCTGGTGAAAGTTAAATCTCTCTTGGCTCGATCTTCCGTGGTTTCCCTGAGGAGAAATGGAGTGGGATCTGGTCTCTTTCCTCATCTGCGATCGCTGCACCCTGTCGACTCCTGGCTGGTACCGGTCGTCGGTTCGGATGGGATGGTCCGTCCCCGCGGCCCCTGCTCTCCTCGTCCCCGCCGGCGTGGGGTGAATCCTCGCCATCTACGGGCCCTGTGTCGGGCTCCGCGATCAGCTGATGCCTCGGATGTGCCGATCTCTGCCAGGTTCGGCCTAGTCAATGCCAGATCACTGGCAAACAAAACTTTTATCCTGAAGGATTTCTTCATGTCCCGTGGATTGGATTTTCTCTGTGTGACGGAGACATGGCTGAGTACCGGTGAGTCCAGTCCTCTTATTGAACTCTGCCCGCCGGATTGCTGGTATTTTAATTCCCCGCGGTCGTCTGGTCGAAAAGGAGGTGGAATAGCAGTTATTTTTAAAAGCGACTTTAAATGCCGGCAGATCAGCCTGCATTTCTCATTCACAAGTTTCGAAATGTGCTTGTTTGAACTGGGCTGCTCTCATGTTGTCCTGTGCGCCGTCATCTATCGACCACCCAAGTACAATAAGGATTTTATAAGTGACTTTTCTGAATTTCTGGCCGAAATTCTGCCGAAATACGACCGTGTCCTTATTGTTGGTGATTTTAATATCCACACTTGTTGCCCTGAAGAGCCGGTCTCCAGGAGCTTTTTAAATCTCCTTGACTCTTTTAACTTCGTGCAGTCTGTGTCCGGTTCTACACATAATCTCGGGCACACACTAGACTTGGTGCTCTCGCATGGTCTGTGTGTGTCTAACCTTGTCATTTGTGACGCTGTTTTCTCGGATCATATGCCGATTTTATTTGACATCCCCACTCAGTGTCCGGTTAAATTGCGCGCTCCACCTAAACCGCGTCGCATGTTTAACTCCTCCTCGCCTGCTCTGTTCTCATCTACCTTCGTTGGTCTCTGCGAGGATGACTCTGCAGCCCCTGTGTGTGTATACAAACCCCCACCTGTATACAAACACTGGACACGATCGCTCCTCTGAAGACCCGGCGCACCAAACCTACACCCGAGCCCTGGTTGAACGACGTCACTCGTGCAGCCAGGCGTGAGTGCAGGAGGGCGGAGCGCAGGTGGAAAAAGGACAGTCTGCACGTGTCTCTTGGCATCCTTAAAGATAGTCTGAGGAATTATCAGAGGATTGTGAAAGCTGAGAAGAATAAATATTTCTCTGAATTGATTGCTTTTAACTGTAACAACCCCAGAGCTCTGTTCAAAACCATAAACACTGTCCTTGAGGCTCCCAAGTCTCTTGGTTTTGATGCCTCCACTGAAATCTGTGAAAAATTCCTCCACTTCTTCACTGATAAAATTATGTCAACCAGAGCCTGTATCTCTCAGCCATCGTATGACCCTTCAGCCCCTCTGCACCCCTCATCTGTCTTCTCTAAATTTGAGTCTGTGTCCCTCTCTATTTTAAAGGACATAGTCGGCCATATGAAGCCTTCTGGCTCCCCTGCTGATGCCATCCCACCTCGCTTGTTTAAAGAGGTACTTGCTACTATTGGACCAAGTGTCCTTAATATTGTAAATTGTAGCCTCTCATCCGGTACAGTACCTACGGATTTTAAACATGCTGTGGTACGACCTCTACTCAAAAAAACTGGCCTTGACCCATCCCTCTGTGCCAATTTCAGGCCCATCTCAAATCTTCCATATCTTTCCAAGATTCTAGAGAAGGTTGTCTACAACCAGTTGTTACCATTCTTGGAAGACAATGGTATCACAGAGTTGTTCCAGTCCGGTTTTAAAGCTCTCCACAGCACAGAGTCAGCACTTTTAAAGGTTTCAAACGACATTCTACTGACAACAGACTCTGGAAAGTTTGTTGTCCTTGTGCTCCTAGATCTGTCTGCTGCATTTGACACTGTTGACCACAGCATTTTAATCTCTCGCCTGGAGCACTGTGTGGGCATTAAGAGTGTTGCCCTGGACTGGTTCCGGTCTTATTTAACGGACAGAAGTTTCTGTGTTCAAATTGAAAACTCTGCATCCTCAACAGCTCCTCTTCCACATGGGGTCCCTCAGGGCTCAATCCTCGGCCCTCTTTTATTTGCCTTTTATTTACTCCCCCTTGGTTCTGTTTTTAGGAAACACGGCATCTCCTTTCATTTTTATGCTGATGATTGTCAGATCTATCTTCCACTGGCACAGAACAACTCCAACTCAGTCCAACAACTCACTGACTGCCTTAAGGACATTAAAGCCTGGCTTTCTTTTAACTTCCTCAGTCTAAATGAGAACAAGACCGAGGTAATGATGTTTGGACCAAGTGGCGGCCACCCCCCCAACATCGACCTAGGCTCCCTCTCACCCTACCTAAAAGAGGTCATCACTAATCTGGGAGTTAAATTTGACCCTGATTTTAAATTTGAGAAGCAGATCAGCGGGGTGGTACAAAAAAGTTTTTATCAGCTACGTCAAATAGCGAAGGTGAAGCCCATTTTATCAAGACCTGACCTGGAAAAATTAATCCATGCTTTTATAACTACCCGTCTTGATTACTGCAACTCCTTGTACGTAGGGATTAGCCAGGCTTCCCTTGCCCGCCTGCAGCTTGTGCAGAACTCTGCTGCACGTCTCCTGACACAGACCCGCAGGCGTGAGCACATCACCCCCATCCTGGCGTCCTTACACTGGCTCCCTGTTCAGTACAGAATTCATTTTAAGCTTTTAGTATTTGTTTTTAAGGGCCTGAACAACCTTGCTCCACCCTATATTTCGGAGATGCTCCAGCCTCATTGCCCACCCCGACCCCTAAGATCAGCTGATCAGCTTTTACTGACGGTCCCCAGTACTAGGCTGAAGCTCAGAGGGGACAGAGCGTTTGCTGCTGCTGCCCCTAAGCTCTGGAATGAGTTGCCCTTGAAAATTAGACAGGCCTCCTCATTTCCTGTTTTTAAATCCCTTTTAAAAACGCACTTTTACTCATTGGCTTTTAGTACATTGTAGTGTTAATTTGTTTTTTTTTATCATCTTAGCACTTGCCGTGAGCCTCCTTATTTATACACTTATTTATTCTTTTGCGTTATTGTATTTCTGCTTGCGTTATCTTGTTTTTTGATTGTTTTATTTGTTTTTATGTCACTGTACAGCACTTTGGCTACCCTTGTGGTTATTTTAAATGTGCTATATAAATAAAGTTGATTGATTGATTGATTGATTGATTCTTTGTCACCACAACTTTGGAACAAATACGACATATCGGCTCGTCTGTATTTGTGGGCTCACCTCTTTCATTTGGTTTAAAGCAGTGTTGTTTTCGTCATATTTCGTCAAATATTTTCGTCAACGCCAGCGTCAAAAAAGGTAAATATTTTCGTCAACGAGAACAACACTGGTTGTTTTCGTTGACTAAAATATTTCCCTTTCTTCCACGACGAATACGTAACGTTGACGAGCTAAACATAAGTCGGAGATGACTAAAATGTGACGAGACGAAAGTGCGTTTACGTTGATGGGACGAGACGAAAATGACAAACAGACTTGCAAAACTCAGTCAGTCAAACGCTCAACATACAGGAGCAGCTTCAGTCCGCTCTGACAGCTCTCATCAGCCTGCTGTGCTCCTCCAACACACAGACACACACGCGCGCGCACACACACACACATGAGTTTTGTGGTTGACGAAAACAAAACTGGTTTAAAGCCGAAATATTCCCACACCTGGGCTGTTGCGTTCGGTTTAGACACCAGCGCTGTCGTGTTCATTCTGTTTGCTTGCTTTTCACTCACGACGCTCACTTGCAGCACTGTATCCAAAAGTCTGTGTCTGTGTGCCTGACTGTGCGCGCCAGCCCCCTCGTGACAAAGACACTGAATGACTGACAGGAGGGTTCACTAACTCCGTTCATTCCGCTATAGAGCCAACGCCCCCAGGTGCAGAGAACAATGCACAGAGTGAGACCTCTTCTCTCATCCAGCGTGTTTGGTAGCGAGAGAGGAGGAAAACAAACGCACGTCAATTATCGAGGCTGGCAAAATGACCGACCTCGTTTTTATTTACCGAGGGATAAGGCGATTTATTGATTATCGCGACAGGCCTATTCAGACGTATCTCCCGCCCACTCCCGGTATTATCATTTCTCCCGGGAATTTCTCGTAGCATAGTCCGCATTCATTCATGAATCAGATCACTATATTTGCTCAAAGTTTCCAGACAACCGGAGATTGTCCTTTGTTTCTGCTGAGCCTTACAGACAGTGGATTGACACTTTTACTTTACAGTTTGGGACGATTCAGGTCGGTTTCAGCTGTAAACTACAGGGCTCTCAAGTCTCACGCATTCAGCGTGTGACACATGCATTCCCACCTGTTCACACGCTCACACGCCACACATCGTATTTCTCACGCATTTAAATGAACATGGTGATGTCCACCACGTTGCCCCTCTTTAACAATGGAACAGGTAGAAATCAACTGTGTTTCTCCGAGAGTTCAGAAGCTGCGTGCCAGGCGCAAGCCAATCAAATAAAGTATATCTACTGAACAGCCAATCAAAAAGCAGCATGTCTGTATCCGGGTAGAAATAGAGCAGGTTTTTAAAAGGACGAGATAGACCCGATGATTACAGTAAGTCAGTAACCTACACATGCAGAGACCTCAACACCTCATGGCATATAAACTCATATAATAAACTGAAACCCTATGCTATTGCTATTGACAGCTGTATTGATGAATTTAGCCTCTGTACAGCCATTTTCAGCCATTTTCCCCTCCACAAAAGCAGCATTTCTCATATATTTTTTTTAAAGTTCTGATACTCATGACAGTGTAACGCTCATGTACCAAAGGATTAAGTATCTCCATGTTTGTGAAACCTATACTAAAGTACAATTCATCTAAATGCTCCACAGTGCTGATTTTAACAACTCTCCTCCACACCACAGGTAACTTTACGACTTAATTCTTATAAATCAATGACTTTATTCTCCTAAATAATAACTTTGTTGTCTAAAATTTTAATTTTTTTTTCTTAATGTGGCCCTCACACTCTGTTGTATTTAAGAGATTATTATACTAATAATTATCATCAATCACTCTACACCCCCCCAAAGAAATCTCACTCTAAGCTTAGTTCAAAACTTGAGAGCCCTGAAACTATATTAAAGAAGTGTTTATTGGAAAATGAACACTTCAATGAAAAGAAACAAATGCGAGATATGCGAGAGTGATGCGTTCAGGGCAGTCTCGGATAAAAGAGTGCTGTATTTCATGCACAGATGTTCAGAGAGCCTCATACGGGAGAGCATGTAGAACATGTAGCACTGTTGAGTTAAAATGTTTTTTTAAATTTTTCTAAGTGTATCTTATTCAGTTTGCTTTGTTATTTACTTTATATGTTAATAAAATGTTGAACTAATCTCTAGTTTTTTTAGTTTTTAGTACAGATACTTTAAAACTGGCGCTTTAAAAAAAAATCGTGATATTAATCGAGATCGGACGATATGACAAAATAAGTCGTGATCATGTTTTTTGCCAAATCGCCCAGGCCTAATCCAGACTCTAAACATCTGAATCCACCCTATTATCAGACTTTGGCTCACCACCCCTATCGGAGTTTCGACTGAAATGACCTGTTTGCAGTGTGTCAAGTGGACCCAGGCTGATCTTTCTGCTATCTTAACAGCAGTGGGGGTTGTCAACAGTACCTGGTATGGACCTTCCCACTTAGGTGAATGCCAATGCTTTCTTTTAACACTTCTTATTAGCACCCAGTCTCCAGGCTTCAGTGGCTGAGTCTCCTGTTGAGAATCAGCGGGATGATTGTCAGTATACTGGTTTTTGTTTTTCTAATATCTTTCTCATATAGTCTGCAAGTGTGCTGTCGTCATCTGTTTCCCATTGGTTCTTAAACTGGGGCAGCCTGTATGTTCTGCCAAATAAGGTCTCATAAGGAGTCAATCCACTAGTGCTTGTTATATTGATGTAAAGTTCTACGAGATCAAGACACTGTGTCCATGGTCTGTTTCTTTCTTCCATACATTTTTTTAGTCTATTTTTTAAAGTTCTATTCATTCGTTCTACTAAGCCTGCACTTTGAGGGTGATATGCACAATGATGTTTAAGGTTTATGGAACATTTGTCCTATTTTTTTAAGGATTTGGTTCGCAAAATGAGTGCCATTGTCGCTACGAATTATTTCTGGGATACCATACTGAGGTATGATGTCTTTACAAAGTGCTTTAGCAACTGTCAATGCATCTGGTGTTTTAGTCAGGAAAAGCTCTACCCATTTGGAAAATGCATCTGTTATCACAAGACAGTATCTTTTTCCTTCACTTGGGCTCAGTTCGATAAAGTCCATGTGTATGACCTGGAAGGGATATTTTGGTTCAGGGAAACAACGTGTTTTCATTCTGAGATTTCCCTGAGGATTGTGTTTGGCGCATGTTAAACATGCTCTGCAAAAAATTTTTGAATAAGAGTTAAATCCATAAGTAGGAAAATGTTATTGTATCTGTCCTACCATCCCTCCTGTTGAGACATGTGTGGGACCATCGCTCAATATTGCTCCCCATTTAAAAAGATTCTTTGGAAGGATAGGTTTCCCTTCAGGTCATATATAGATGCCATTTTGCAAATGTGCGTCTTGTTTAGCCCAGAGTTCAATTTCAGTTTTTGGGCTCTGTTGTTGCATTGTTTTAAGAACGTCACCAGAAAGTGCGTCAGTATACTCCAAGGTGCAGACTGAGATCTCTCCCTCAGCTGCAGCCTTGGCTGTTTTATCTGCAAATGCGTTTACCAGCGAGAGGGGGTCTGTTCCGGAAGTGTGGGCGGCACATTTGCAAATAGCTAACCTTTGTGGCAGATGTACAGCAGCATTTACTCTAGGTCAGGAAGTTGCATCGATCACGATTTTGTCATAGAGCTATGGAATCAGAAAGAGGGTTGGTGGCTCTCTCATTTCTTTAAAAAAAAAAGACCTTTTCAACTGCTGAAATGGCGTTGCCACTTTTGGATGTCATGTGGTATGTCCTCAAAAAAACCCCAATTAATTAAAGTTATTTCCACAAATAACAAATAACATTTGCCAAGCTCCAAGTTCCAATTTCATGCAGCATATCAGTCATACTTCATATTAATCTCGTTTCATATTTTCTATATTTTTGTCTATCTTTTTTCCAATGTCTTGCACTGATATGGGTGACTTTAATTTCATTGTACTGCTTATAATGACAATAAAAGGCATTCTGATTCTGATCATTCAGAATTTATTGAAGCAGATTAGAAAACTCCTCTTAACCCCAAATGTGTCTACAGATGACATGTGACCATTCGATGATGGAGAAAAAAGAAAAAAAGGCAGTGTGAGGAAATCACTGTTTACGTGTTGAAATGTGTACAAATTAAATCTTCCAGTAAACCAGCTAACCACTTTGACGGATGTTTTTAGATTTATTTTTATTTGCTCCCACGTACTCTTTTCCTACTACTGTTGTATCTGAAATAATGAGGTCAACAGGAGGTTATCACACACGCTGCATGACAACATATAAGGGGGCCATAAATTTATGAACATACAAATGTAATTGACACAATCGATGATTTTTTTGCCAGCAGTCCCTGCGGCTTTTAGCAGCTGCGGCTGTCCTGCTCCTCACTGTTATAGTGTTGCAGTACTCCTCGTATTTGTGTAAAATAATGCTCTGTTCCTCGGCTGTGAAATATGACGTGCAGCCTTGTCCATTGTTGAGAGTGGTCTGGTGGCACTGACCCCGCCCCCTTTACGTGTGCGCGCACAGATCTAGACTGACCATAACTGAATTTAGTTAGCTAGTTGATATCCTGCCTCGTAGTACAGCAGATCGGGATTACGGAGATCTGGTGAAATTGATCGAGTTGTCGCAGAGTTATCCTGGTTGTGTTAATCCAGCTTCGTAGTGCAGGCCTCTGGACCACAGACACAAACACACACAGAGTTAATTTCATGTCAAAAAGGGAAATAAAATGTTTGTGTTCATGTTCGAAATGTTAATAAAATTTAGTTTGAATATAAAATTTGCATGAAATTAATTGTTCATAGGTCTCTTTAAATTGATTTTTAATGATACAAGGTCTTCAACTCATTTGGCGCAACCACCAATCATGTGGTGCAACCAATAATAACATTTCTACTAGGCCTGCACGATATATCGTTTCAGCATCGTCATCGCGATGTACGTGTGTGCGATAGTCACATTGCAGAGCCTGCGATGTCGGAGGTGAATGAACTCAGTTAATTTCAAGGGTAGCCGACTGAGACACACTGCATGTGACTCTGCATGTGCTGTGCAGCGATCCACCATTCACCTTTCTTTACTCAGTTGCCAATCAGACTCAGTTCTCAGTTGCCAATCAGACTACCCTGCCAGCTGTCAATCAAAATCAGAGAGGAGGAAACCCACCCCTGCACATGTTCTGCACATGGAGTGAGACGCCTGTCCGCTGAGAATTACTTTCGGAACATTCTTCATCACTGTTTAGCCCAACAAATAAGTATGGGTTTTAAATTGTACATTTCCGTGGACCACTCTACTATAAGCAGTGCGCGTTTTGTGAGGTGCATGCATTTCTCGGAGGACATGGGTTTCTCGGCACAACCCCGTTGACAACAAAAACAACGATCGCAAACTGAGCAACAAACAGAGAAAACCACAGAAGATGAAGATTTGTTGCCAAAAAGAAAAGGAAAGTCAGTTATCTTGAATTATTTCGGTTACAAGATGGATAATGTCGACCAAAACACGTTCTGTGTTCATCTGTTGCCACAATAACGTCTGGCGGAGCCTGGTGTACAGCCAGTTTGGTATTTTCGTGGACTGAGGCGCACCAAGGTCCGCCAAGCAGGGCGTGGTGGCGTGGCAGGGGGAGGTGTCGACAGAATCAGCTGGCGCAGTGACATTTTCGTGCTCGCCTCTGGCGTGTAAAGTGCGCCGAAATCTCGCCGTATCAAACCTGGTCAGCTTTCAGCGCAGGCGGAGCGCAGCTAGTCTAGTGGTATTTTGGTAGACTGGCAGCGTATCGGCATACGTCACCAATGCCTCACCGGCAGGTTTCCACAGTGTCAGGCACATTTCAGTGCAATAGATAAACAACAACAACAAAAAATCTGAGTCAGCACATACATTTAGATCTATATATTCTGATCTATATCTGATCTGAAGAGCGCCTTTGGCACGCTTTTAGACACTCAACCTAACCAGATTAACACAGTTGAAACAGCATTTAATTAAATTGAAATAAATATCTAGTAAACACACATGATGAAGTTAACAAGATATGTAATTCGTCTCCCTCCTTTTCTTTCTTCCTCGTCCTCTTATTTCTCGCGCAGTTCGACCTGGACATGTCTCCATGTCCTCTCCCCGTCCTGCTGCAGCTGCTACTGCAGCTGCTGAAGAGATGATTTGTTTCAGTGATCAGATGAGTTATTTACTTTAAGCCTACATATTAATATTATAATAGTCAGTTTTGTGAGCCCAATTTATTTTATATGCCAACATCAATGAAAAAAAGAGACAGGCCACGGAGCGCAATGCGTCATTTACGCACAGATGGTTCCGATTTTAATGCCATTATTGGAATTTATGTTGTGATCTGTGCGTACAACCCACCTTTGTCAAGTAAGGTTTAAATATATGCAACTTTATGTGAGTGTCTTTATTTGTGGAAAAGGGTGTTTGCCTTACCAGTGGGTACAACCTTACACACACCAAATCCATCCGTGCTTATATGAGACAGTGTGCAGGACACCCTCTGCAGCTCTTACAGCGACACTTATTGAGGGGCTGCCTTCTGTTGCCATCGTGTGGCATTGCTGTCTTCACACATCTCTTTTTGTCTTTGACTACTTCACGAAAATTGTAATACGCCTCGCCCGTGGCGGATTTAAAGGCGAGGAGAGGAGCTTATGTTATTGGTCAAAACAGGTCTCGGCTGTGTTAAACCCACTCCACGCCCTCTCCCCTCCCTCCCTACCTACCTCTTACTCCGCTGGGAGGAGCTAAGTTAGGGAGGGGGACACTTGCGCCGTGCTGCTACACTCACCAAAATACCAAATTGTGCTTGGGAACGCCTTGTCGGCGCGGCGGACCTGACTTACACCGCGTCTGCGCCATGTTGCCTTATTTATCAACCGTGCATAGAAAAGGTCCTAAATTCTGATGTGGGAATGAAATTTAGAATGTGCATAAGTACAAAAAAATCTGTATTTATCAAACATTCGGACACCGGTCGTACGCACACATGTAAGTAATCGGTGATGATAAATCCCACCTGTTCTTTACTATGGTGCTTGTGCATGGTTAGGGTCTTTTGCATTCAGAAATGCCTCCAGTTGACCATATATGGTATCAACAATCCCTTTAAAAATGCGTGAATGGATTTTTTCCCCCTTGACAAAATCATGGAGGTGCACACTCAGAGCTGTTCTGCAGAATGAATGAGTCGTGCGTTCCTCCAGGCCACCAGGCAACAATGTTTAACAGATACATATGTGCATCGCAGATTATTTGTGCATTGATTGAAAGAAATCCTTATCTATTAGCATAACTGAATTTATATTGTGAAGATGCTTTTATTGCGACGTGGGTGCAATCTATGGCTCCAATTGTGTTTGGGAATCCGGCAATGGCGTGAAATCCTTGTTTTATTTCGGCTTGTTGGTGATGTGTGTATGGGAACTGGACATAAGTTGAGGCCAGAGAAATTATTGCATCCAACTCTGCCGGCATGATTCTGCTTAGCGTTGCCTGCAAAATGTCGTTTATTTCTTCAATCTTATGATTATTCAATCAGGGTGGACATTAACTGGATGTGTACTGGGATGGCTTTGGAGCGTTTTGTCTCTCACTCCAACACGGGTAGTAAATCCCATTAAATTATCCCACATGGGTAGTAAATCCATTAAAATGTTTTTGGGGAAGCGGTACCTGCTGAGAGTCAGCTCTGTTTTCTCACTGAACGGATCAGCACGGTCTTTAAAAACGCGCTTCCTGCGGAGCATACGTTCTCCAAGTCCTCTAATAGTGCAAAATAAGCCGTGATACTTGTATTTGTACTTGTGAGACTTAATTTGAGGTTGTCCTGTCACAGCTGATTTTTAAAGCTTGTCACAACAATCATTCAAAATGTCTGCTAAATAACTATTTGATAAATTTTGTACAGAGGCAACAGAGAACACGTGTGTATTTTGAGATTGCTGAATGCTGTTTCTCCTTTAATGGGTTCTATTTGTAGTTTCACTGTTCTACCACTAAATTTTATGTGTACACATGGTCAGAGTTTACGCACGTTCCTTAGCACAATTACATGTTGATAAATTCCACACATCTGTGCGTGGGATTGTTCATATGCATTCAGTACGCACACATCTGTGCGTACACATGGTTGATAAATGAGGCCTCACTAACGGTTTTCTACATTTCAATGTAGGGCAGTCACTGAGGCCAACCACAAGATGGTGCTATCATACCATAATTAAAAATTAGTATAGTTACATGCTGCTGACTGCAAACATCTTTTGAGTATTCACACATGGAGCGGGGCCATTGTTTTGCATAGGCATTAGTTTTACTAAAGCACTAATCCTCATCTCTGTTTATTTACAACACTCATACAATTTTTTTTTACTTAAGGTTATCAAAAATGTCTGCATATATGACACTTCTCCAACTGCTTCTTTTCTACAACTTAATGCATGTTTAACTGCAGCTATTCTAAAATTTCTACATAATTTCTTCTTGTTCTCCACCTCTTCAACAGTTTAAACATTTTTACTTTTCTTCTTTTGTAGCAGTTCTGCATGGCTGTTTCAGCATTCAGCATTTCCATGCATTTTCTGCAAGGAAATGCAATTTTTGTAGTTGTCGTATATATTCCTGCCGGTCGTTTTTATTCTTCTGCCAATTTTGCTACTTTTTTTCATCTTCCCACTTTGTGCTATTTCAACCTTTCAAACTTTATAGTAATGCACTCCTTCAGTGTCATTTATTACATAGGTGTTGTGTTACACAGAGGAGGGCCTAAGATTTTAAAATTTTGTAAGGGTTGTGGCCACCCGATTTGTCCCGGAAACACGTTTTGTACTTAGTAACCTTTATTTAACCAGGAAATAAACCCATTGAGATTCAGAATCTCTTTTACAAGGGAGTCCTGGCCAGGATAGCAGCACAAGAAGTTCCACATTAAAAAAAAAAAAAAAAAAAAAACACGCAGAAAAACAAAACAGTTACAGTATGCAAACACAACAATAAATCAGCGTTCAGTAAGAGGACGTGCATTCAGTTCTCAAAAACTCCTTAATTCTAGTTTTAAAATGTTCCATACTTGGCAGATAATCCAATTTAAAATAACCCTGTAAATTACACCAGGAGGAGGGTGCAAAAGCCTTGAAAGCGCTTTCACCAAAAACCGTCCTTGTCTGAGGAATAGCGTACATGATCTATCCATCAGACCGGAGATTACTCCTGTTGGTGATTTTGGGAGTTAAGAGGGAACATAGGTAAGAGGGCAAGTCACCTAGAATGGCCTTGTAAAGAAAGATATACCAATGTTCCAATCTACGATTTTGCAGAGAGGACCAACCAACACTCTCATATAAGCTGCAGTGATGAGTACGAAAATCTAAGCCAGTTACAAATCTTCATGCTGCATGATACACTGAGTCCAGTATTTTTAAAGAAGAGAGATTTGTATGCATGTATAAAAGTCCCCATAATCAAGTATGGATAAAAACGTTGCCTGTATAAGCCTTTTTCTTGCACCAAAGGAGAAACAACCCTTGTTTCTATAGAAGAAACCCAGTTTCACCCAGAGTTTCTTTGTAAGACACTCAATATGGTGCCTAAAGGACAAATTTTCTTCCAAGTGAAATCCCAGGTATTTGTAGACAGAAACTCATTCAACTAATTTCTCATTTAGAGTAACAATCTGACAGACGTCATCTGATTTCAATGATTTTGAAAAGCACATCATTTTAGTCTTGTCAGTATTGAGTACAAGTCTTAATTGATAGAGATTTTTTTTTTATTGGTATTTTATATTTTATATTTGTTTTTTATCTACCTATGTATTTTATATTTGTTTTTATTTATGGTGTATTTGTACCTCAATTTTACTTTGCTGTATTTTAATCTTGTATTCTGTGTTTTTGATTATATTGTTTACTGTTTGTTTTATGTATTTCGCTGTGTCTTATTGACCTGTACAGCACTTTGGTCAGCTTCGGTTGTTTTTAAAGTGCTCTATAAATAAAGTTTGAGTTGAGTTGAGTTGAGTTGAGCTAATGATGGAGCTGAACAATACAAAACAGTGTCATCTGCATAGAAGTGGAAATTGGCATCAGTTACATTTTGACATAATGCATTAATATAAATAGTAAATAAAATAGGACCCAGTATGGACCCCTGAGGGACACCGTTTCGAATAGACAAGCAGTTGGAACACAGACCATCAACCTGAACCCTTTGTGTTCTGCCACTCAAGTAGTTACCAAACCATTTCACCGTATTAGTAGACATTCCAATATCCTCCAATCTCTGGGACAAGACAGAGTGGTCGACCGTGTCAAAAGCCTTTGACAGATCTAGGAACAAAGCAACACAATGTTCTTTAGAGTCAATAGAACAAATGAAATCATTTAACACTTTCATCAGGCAGTGACTGTGCTGTGTTTTTTAGGGAAACCAGACTGTAATTCATTTAAAATGCTATTTGATGTCAAGAAATTTTTCAGCTGATCACTTATAAGTCCTTCCAAGACCTTGGCCAAAATAGGTAATTTGGATATCGGCCTATAATTATTGGGATTAGACCGGTCAACACCCTTCAGTAAAGGAGTGACATATGCTGACTTCCAAATGCTAGGTATTATCCCAGTTTCTATAGTCCAATTGAAAACATAAGTCAAGGGGACTTCAATATGCTCAGTAGCAAGTTTTAAAAAGAAAGGACCCAACCCATCAGGACCGGGGGATTTCTTGGCATTTAACCTTGAGAGAGAGTCATATATCTCATCTCTAGACAAAGGTGCAAGATCTAAATCAAAAGGTAGATTTTCCCTGGACAATGAGTGATCCTGTTGACTCACCACTTGTGGTATGTCCTGCTCAAACAACAACCCAGAAGATATAAAGTGCTGGTTCAAAGAATCTAGCATACTTTTCTTGTCTGTAATGGTCTCATCATTCAGCTTTAATGTATTTGGCAGCACAGTATCCTTTGACCCTGAAGACAGTGATTTAATCAGTTTCCAGAATTTAGAAGGGTTGTTTGCACTGTCACAAATTTTATTAAGATAAAAATCGGCTTTGGCTTTACTAGGCCTGTCGCGATAATCAATAAATCGTCATTTTGCCAGCCTCGATAATTAACGTGCGTTTGTTTTCCTCCTCTCTCGCTACCAAACACGCTGGATGAGAGAAGAGGTCTCACTCTGAGCATTGTTCTCGGCACCTGGGGGCGTTGGCTCTATAGCGGAATGAACGGAGTTAGTGAACCCTCCTGTCATTCATTCAGTATCTTTGTCACGGGGGGGGCGCGCACACAGGTACACGTAATGGGGCACAGGCACACAGACACAGACTTTTGGATACAGTTCTGCAAGTGAGCGTCGTGAGTGAAAAGCAAGCAAACAGAATGAACATGACAGCTTTGGTGTCTAAACCGAACGCAACAGCCCAAGTGTGGGAATATTTCGGCTTTGAACCAAATGAAAGGTGAGCCCACAAATACGGACGAGCCGATATGTCGTATTTGTCCCAAAATTGTGGTGACAAAGAAGGGGAATACGACGAACATGCATGCGCACCTCAAGCACAATCATCCCCTCCATTTTTCCCAACTGAGCAAAAAAAGTACTGCCGGAGTAGCTGCAGAGCCATCGTCCCGACAGGTACCGTTTACCGAAGCGTTTGGCAAGCAAAGCAAATATAAACAAAACAGTGCAAAATGGTGCGCGCTGACAGACAGCGGAAATTGAAGTTTATCACTTTTGGCATGGTGTACTCGCATTATTATGCCATATATTTTCATTTTCTATAATTTAAAAAACGGTGTCAATAATATCGTTTATCGGCAATAATTTGTAGCACAATTATCGTCCAGCAAAATTTGTTATCGTGACAGGCCTAGGCTTTACGTATCTGAGAGACACACTTGTTCCTCAGGTGGCTAAAAAGTTGCCAGTCTGAGCTTTTTTTGGATATTCTTGCAGTTGCCCTGGCAAGATCTTGTTTATGAATTAGATCAGACAGTTGCTCTGAAAACCATGGATTATCACGACCTTTAATCTTGTATTTTCTGAGAGGAGCATGTTTGTCTATAATGTCCAAAAATAAGGAATTAAAATACTGTAAAGCTGTCTCAGCATCTGGAATCAAATTTACCCTGGTCCAATCACATAGATATATGTCATTTAAAAAGGCTTGTTCGGAAAATGGCTTAAAATTACGCCTAATTATGATACACTTTGATAACTTTGTGTCTCTCACACAAGCAATAATGCAGTGATCACTAACATCATTTGCAAACACAGCGGTAGCCTGGTATTTTTGGGGAAAATTGGTTAAAATCAAGTCAAGGAGTGTCGACTTCTCAGGGCGTTTAGGGTTTGGCCTAGTTGGTGAGTCAATAATTTGAGCCAAAAGGGCTGAGTCACAGAAACATTTAAAAGAATCAGAAGCAGGGGTTAACCAATCCCAATTTAAATCCCCCATTAAAAGCAGATCATTGTAGTTAATAGTTGATAAGCAGTCAGACAATGAGAGTAGTGTATCCTTTATGCAGAAGGAGGTCTATAACATCCCCCTACTGTCATAACACAGCTCTTCGTAAATTCAACTTTCAAGACAAGCAATTCAAATTGTTTAGGCACAGACTTGGATAATTGTACTGTTGCCTGAAATGTATTTTTAACATAAATTGCTACGCCTCCACCTTTGGCACAGCGATCAGCATCCAAATAAATATGACTATCAGGCGTAGATCTACTCAGCCATGTCTCAGATAAAACCATAATGTCAGCACTTGTTGATTTGGCCCAAATTCTAGCCATATCAATTTTGGGCAAAAGACTTATCACATTCATATACAAAACCAATACCAGACCTATTCAAAAATTCAGCAGGGGTTTGTAGTGATATCACATCAGACACAGGGCCTGGGTTAGGCTGAACATTCCTTGATATCAACAAGCATGATCATACATTTCAACATATGTGTTTCATGAAAATGCTTCTTGATTTTCTTACAGACATCATTCATCGTAACAGGCTGAGAGTCATTTGATGGGATAAAGCAGTCCTTTAGGAGAAGAAGGCTTAAAAGATAATTAAAGTTTATATGCTTTGAAACCTGGCTCATTTCAAGCATCGAGCACCCTTGATTGATATCAAAGTCCTGCGCCCAGCTAGTAACCTTTGACCGTGATGACATACAAAGAAAGCACAGGCAGGAGGGTGAGAATTATTCTCGCCATGATTCAGATTCAGATTCAGATTCCTTTATTAGCCATTGTGTAAAACACATAGGAATTTGCTTTGGCAATAGTATGAGTGTGTTCGGATGTTTTTTCACAGATAACATAAAACACAAACAACACGAAAAATAGATAAATATAAAGTGCAGTAGGATCAATAGTGCAGATGTAGTTCAGTGTCAAAGTCCCTAGTGGGCGGGGTGAGGAGGGAAGCCAGACTCATTGAGCAGCCTGGCAGCAGAGGGGAAAAAACTGAGTCTATGGCGTGCTGTGGTGGCCTTCAGCAGCTGCATCCTTCTCCCAGAGGGAAGCAGGGAGAGGAGACTGTGGCCAGGGTGGGAGGGGTTGGCCATGATTTTTCTTGCCCTCCTCAGCGCCCTGGAGTTGTGCAGGGACTTGAGGGAGGGCAGCAGGCGGCCAATCACCCTCTCCGCTGAACGAATCACCCTCTGCAGCTTGATAAGGTCTCTTGCAGCTGCAGCAGGGAACCAGGTGATGATGGAGTGGGTGAGGATGGACTCAATGATGGCCGTGTAAAACTGAGTCATCATGGTCCTTGATAGTCTGTACTTCCTCAGCTGCCTTAGGAAAAACAGTCTCTGCTGGGCCTTTTTCAAAAGGGACATGATGTTAATTTCCCACTTCAGGTCCCGGGAGATGGTGACTCCCAGGAGCTTAAAGGACTACACAGAGTTTACCAGGGTGCCTCCCAGCGTGATGGGAGGGGGAGGGGCTGTGTTCTTGTGGAAATTCACCACCATCTCCACTGTCTTTTGGGGATTAAGGTCCAGGTTGTTTCTACTGCACCAACTGCACAGCCGCTCGATCTCCCTCCTGTAGGCCGACTCGTCCCCTTTGGAGATGAGGCCCACCAAGGTAGTGTCATCGGCAAACTTGAGGAGCTTGACCGACGGGTGGAGAGAGACACAGGTGTTGGTGTACAGGGAGAACAGTAGCGGGGACAGGACACAGCCCTGCGGGGAACCGGTGCTGGTGGACCTGGAGCTGGAAATGCTTTTCCCCAGCTTCACCCGCTGAGACCTGTTGGTCACAAAGTCTGTAATCCACTTGCAGGTGGAGGCAGGCACTTGCAGCAGGGACAGCTGGTGCTCCAGGATGGATGGTAGGATGGTGTTGAAGGCTGAACTGAAGTCGACGAACAGGATCCTGGCATAGTTGCCGGCAGTGTCCAGATGGTTTAAGATGAAGTGCAGAGCCATGTTCACAGTGTCCTCTGTGGATCTATTGGCTCTGTACGCAAACTGCAACGGGTCCAGCACAGGATCAGTGATGCGCTTCAGGTGAGCCAGGACAAGGCGCTCCATGACCTTCATGACCACAGAGGTCAGGGCGACAGGTCTATAGTCATTGAGGCCTGTGACGTTGGCCTTCTTGGGGATGGGGATGATAGTTGAGGCCTTAAAACATGCTGGGACATGACACAGCTCCAGAGAGGTGTTGAAGATGTTGGTGAACACCGGGGCGAGCTGGTCAGCACAGTGCTTCAGGACAGAGGGGGAGACAGAATCCGGTCCGGGCGCCTTCCGGGGGTTCTGGCTCCTGAGCAGCAGATTCACCTCTCTCACTGTGACAGAAAGAGGGGTTGGAGGGGGCGAGGAGGGGGGCCCACTTAGATACGGGCATAGTGATTGTGGCCGGGGGGTTGGAGGGAGGGGGCGAGGGGGACCTCTCTCTCAAATCTGCAGTAGAACTCATTGAGCTCGTTCGCAAGGGGGAGGTTGTCAGACGCTTGTGGCGACTTCGGCTTGTAGTTGGTGATGGACTTAAGGCCCTTCCAGACTGAGGAGGAGTTCCCCTCAGAGAGCTGCTGCTTTAGTTTCTCTGAGAAGCGATGTCTCGCCTCCCTCACCGTTTTGGCAAACCTGTACTTGGCTTTCCTGAACAGAGCCACGTCTCCACTGCGCCTTGCCACCTCCTTCTCGGACCTGAGCCTCCTAAGATGGGCTGAAAACCAGGGCTTGTCGTTGTTGAAGATCTTCCTGGAGCGCAGAGGAACACACACCTCCTCACTGAGGCTAATGAATGATGTCACAGTGTCCGTGTGTTCATCCAGGCTGTTTCCAGCCTCAGGCCCCGCCCACTCAACGAAGTCCTAGTCACAGCCTGCATTCTCCAGCCAGGCACAAAGTCTCTCCTTTGCCTCACTGGACCACACTCTGAAGCTCCACACTACAGGTTTTGATCATTTTAATCTCTGCCTGTAGCAAGGGATCAGATGGATGAGATGGTGATCTCCTTTGCCCAGCGCAGCACGGGGGAAAGAATGATATGCCTGCCGAGTAGTGTAATAGCAGTGGTCAAGAGTGTTCCCACCCCTAGTAGCGCATGTGACTTGCTGTCTGTATTTGTGGAGAGCCCGGCTAAGGTGCGCCTGGTTGAAGTCCCCAAGCACCACAGGAAAACTGTCCGGGTGTTTATGTTCCGCCCCCGACTGCTGTTCGGCCAGTGTGTCCACTGCTGCGGTGACGTCAGCATCCGGAGGAATGTAAACACACACGAGGATGAACGCATGGAACTCACGGGGGGAATAGAATGGGCGACAGAGAATGAAGAGCGATTCAATGTTAATAGAACAGTGTTGTTGCAACACTGTCACATCAGAACACCAGCGATCGTTCACAAAGAACATTAATCCACCTCCACGCGACTTTCCTACCGCCTCGAAGTCTCTGTCAGCACGTAACGCAGAGAAGCCTTCCAACTGCCCCGTCCGGGTCTGTCGGCTTCAGATGTGTCTCCACGAACGCGAAAACAGCGGTGGATTTGAAGTCATTATCCCTCGAGACTAGTAGCCTTCATTTTATTAGGAAGGGAATTCACGTTACACAGGAATATACCCGGGAGTGATGGACGCGATCCTCCTCTCTTCCCCCGTTGTCTTCTGGTCCAACGCACTGGCAAAGAGCGCTGTCCCTCTCACCAGAATATCCAATATATCCGTGGAACGGGTGAGTAATGTTGGTAAGATGTCCGGTGGGGTAGAACACCCAATGTGCAGTAGCTCTTCTCTAGTGTAAGAAGGCTCACAGGACACGTAAACAATACACAGACAGAACACAACACACGTCGATACCATAGCAGCCATGGGCGGCGCCATCTTGGATTCACCCAGCTTGACGTTAACTCAGCTGCAAGGCAGGATGGGTGAAATAGGCCTCAGCTGCAGAGCTGGGTAGTAGGCCTCAGGCTGCAGGGCTGGGTGGATGAGGTAGGCCTCAGGCTGCAGAGCAGGGTGGATGAGGTAGGCCTCAGGCTGCCGGGCAGGGTGGATGAGGTAGGCTTCAGGCTGCAGGGCTGGATGGATGAGGTAGGCCTCAGGCTGCAGAGCTGGGTGGATGAGGTAGGCCCCAGGCTGCAGGGCTAGATGGATGAGTTAGGCTTAAGGCTGCCGGGGAGGGTGGATGAGGTTGGCCTCAGGCTGCCGGGCAGGGTGGATGAGGTAGGCTTCAGGCTGCAGGGCTGGTTGGATGAGGTCGGCCTCAGGCTGCAGAGCAGGGTGGATGAGGTAGGCCTCAGGCTACTGAGCTTTTCTTGTTGTGGGTACTGCTGCAGATCTTGGCTGCAATCTAGCCACACTTTAGCAGCTCCCATAGTCTTGAGTAGGTTTTAAAGGCTAACAGGTGGCCTATGGAGTAGCCAAACAAAGTAGAGCAGAGTTGTTTCCCAAAGGAAAATGCCAAAATCCACAACCTTGATGCAATCTTTAAGTAAACTAGAACACTGAATAGTCCACAATGGAAAAATACTATCTAAGTATTATAAAATCCAAAAGGAAACATTAAAAACAGACAAACACTGAGCAGAGACTGAACAGAGACACCACACATGCTGCCATCTTGCGCATGTGCAAAACAGACGTCACTTCCTCTGCTAGCCATCTTTGCGACAGCTCAGCAATTATTTGCTCCTAGCAGTTTGCGACAGCTTTGACACTATTTTGGTAGCATCAGCGAGCCCGCTTCAGAATGGAGGCGTCAATTTATCAACAGCTACAGGCCTTTCTCCTGATTGGAGTGCTTTCCCCAACTGAAGCAGAATGGCGCACAGTTTCTACAAAGTTTCCACCTCTAACTTACTGATCATAACACATTACAGGTATAGATAGATAGATAGAAAGATCACACTAAGGCTTCACGATATAACAGTATGTTTCCTCTAAACGATAGAAAATTTCTATCGGGATACATGAGCTCTATCATTTCTATCGCAGTGTCGCAAAAACACGCTTTACGGCAGTGTTTTACGTTGTGACGCTCCATATATGGCATGCCCACACGCGCTACTGCCAATGTGAAAAACACAAGCATGGAGGGGCTGGGTGATTGTGGCGCAAGAGACGACAATTCTCGTGCATCTAATGCAGACGAGCCAACGCAGATGGAGGAGCTGCTGCCGAAACGGGGGCAACGTCGGTTGTGTGGTCTTGGTTTGGTTTTAAAAGAAGCGACACGGAGCAGACCGCTGTAGTTTTATTCTGAGTCAGTACATGTAGATCTATATCGATATATTATGATGTATATCTGATCTGATAAGCGTGTTTGGCACGGGTTTGGACACTCCACCTGACCGAATTAACACAGCTGAAACCGCATTAAATTAAATATCCAGTAAACAGTCACACATGATGAAGTTAACAAGATACTTAATTCGTCTCCCCGCTTATCCTCCTTCTTCCTTGCACAGCTTGATAGGTGTTATGCCGTAGCATGCACCCCTGAATCCCATCGACTCATTAGCTTCTTAAAGTGGAAAAAATTATCTCATATTTAAAAAAAACACGAGTATTGGATCATGACAAAATGTCAAATGGAGCAGCAAACTTTTGTTCTGTTTGTAGGTATTTAAAAAATGCACATACAGAGGTGTACTTGGGTATTTAAACTATGCTGTGTAGGTAGAGAACATATTTGCGGGGCAGCAAATATTCCGAATCAGAGGGCGATTGTTTTTGGCATATCTGAATAGCCAGAATGAAATCATTAAAGGCACACGCTCTAGAATCAGTCCAATGGTAAGAAAAACTTGGATTATTCCGCCTTGTTGTGTACTTTCAATCGCGATCCTGTCAGGGGGGGCTTTGACGGCAGGGTTGCATTCTATGGCACAACACCTGACGTGTCTTCGTGTCCTCTCTCCGTCCTGCTGCACCTGCTGCTGTTGCGGCGGCTGAACAGATGATTTGTTTCAGTGATCAGATGAGTTATTTACTTTGAGCCTACATACGAATATTATAATATTCAGTTTTGTGAGCCAAATTTATTTTATATGCCAACATCTATGAAAGAAAGAGCCAGGCCACGGAGCACGATGCGTCATTACGCACAGATGGTTCCGATTTTAATGCCATTATTAGGGCTGGGTATTGATTCAGATTTTCCAAATCGATTCGATTCGATTTTACAAGGTCCAATTCGATTCGATTCACGATTCGATTCGATTCGATTCAATATCGATTTAGTCAGGGATATCTCAATTAAAAATGGCCAAATGCATTGAACCTAACTAGTAACCTTTTGACCTGATAGATTATTAAAAATTGTTTACATTAAAAATTGCACCCAAACTAGTAGCATTCATCATGCACATTTATTTAAACATGACCAAGTGACTGACAGAGAATAAATGAATATAAATTAAATTAAAATAAATTACATGACAATATAAGTAAAGTAGATACAAAGATGACACAAATAAACAGGACACTCACTTATCTGCACCTTACAGCTTTTGTGCAATAACACAGTGGTTGTGACACAACTGTATCAAAACAGAACCATCTGTTGACTCAAATAAATGGCAAATTAAAATAGTGCAAATAAGTCCGTTTTTTTTAACATGGTCAGTATATTTTGAACATACAATGTAAACTGAAAAATGCCCTCAAAAAGTGGTGACATTACATCTTGTTTTTCTGGCATTCTGAATTTCATGTCAGTTTTGGTTTGTTTTTCCATGAACACAAAATAGAAAAGTGCTTAAGTCTAAACAGCTCTGAATTACTTCTGAAAATAAGCGTTTTCCTGAAACATTAATGCAAAAGATCTTGTAAACTTCTGAACAATAATCACACTGTGTGACCTTTCATCCCTTTTCTTACTTGTTGGAGAGAGTAAGATTTTTCTGCATGAAAAGGAGCTGATCACACTCGCCACACTCTCCGCTGCCTGAAGCAAAGTTTCGATGCTTTGTTTCAAACATGCATACATGTTTGGAATTGTCACTTCACTTAATTGTTTACGAGTCGGCAAAACATAACGTGGCTCCAGCGTTTTCACGAGACTTCGGAAACCATCGTTTTCAACGACACTGTAAGGTCCAATGTCTTCGCATATGAAAACTGCAATTGCCTCGGTTATCTTTCGTGCACGTTGAGAGTTTGTCGGTAACTTGGGGGCCAATACCTGTTCCAGGCTAGTTTGTTTGAGCCGTGCCGAGTCCAACTGTGTTACTGTTTCTGGGTGATGTCTTGTCAGATGGTTTCGGAGATTTGTCGTATTCCCACAGTATTTTACCGCTCCGTTGCATACTTTGCATATTGCTTGTTTTTTGTCATCCGCGTTGTTCGCTCCATCCCTTTTAAAACAAAAATACGCCCAAACATCAGCCTTAAACCTCGCCGGTGTCGCCGCTGACGCTGTACTCCCTTCTGCCATATTTCCTTATCTTGCTAACAGCGGCTAATAACATCTCGCGAGATCGTGTTCCGTGGAAAGCTGCGCTAAACACGGATCTCGCGATACTGCCGGGGTTGAAACAGGCTGTTCACTGCAAGTTAGAAGATCGATCTATGGATTTATGAATCGATATCTGACTATGAAAAGGTGAATCGATTCAAATCGATTTAATCGATTTTTATAACCCATCCCTAGCCATTATTGGTATTTATGATGTGATCTGTGTGCACAACCCACCTTTGTCACGTGAGGTTTGAATATGTGCAACTTTACATGAGTTTCTTTATTTGTGGAAAAGGGTGTTTGTCTTACCAGTGGGTACAACCTTACTAGTGGTGCAACGGATCACAACACTCACGGATCGGATCGTTCCTCGGATCAAGAGTCACGGATCGGATCATTTTTCGGATCAGCAAAAAGCAGTTTTGTCTGTATATTTAAATGGTTGAATTAAAATATATAAAAGTAGTGCATACGGCATAATATCTTCTTTTCAACATAATTATTAATGAAAAACAACTTAAAGTGCAATATATAGGCATATCTCCTTCCTTTAAAATGTAACAATGAACCAAAAATGAAGTATGTGCGCGGTGGGATATTGTAACGTGGCTCAAGCACTTTCAGCATGTTTTTAAAGCCCTCGTTTGCACAACTGAATATGGCCTCATGTCTGTAGCTATAAACACACCGATAGCGTTTGTGATAGCTTTAACCCAGTCGGATTGCGCAGGAAGAGGCTGCTTAAATGCTGCGGTGATGAGCGGTTGCTGGCCAGCTTTCGTTTTATCTCAGGTGTTGTGACATAGAATGCACCCCTGCCGTAGAATGCACCCCCTGACGGGAGCGCGGTTTAAAGTACATAACGAGGCGAAATAATCAAAGTTTTTCTTACATTGGATGGATTCAAAAGCGTTTGTCTGGAATAATTTCATTCAGGCTATTCAAAGAAGCCAAAAACAACAGCCCTTGGAATATTGCTGTCCCGAAAATATAATGCTCTCTACCTGGACAGCTTTCTGTACAGTTTATACCCAAGTACACCTCTATATTTGCATTTTTGAGACACATAAAAAGAAAATGAAAGTTTGCTGCTCCATTTGATATGTTGTCATGATCTAATACTCGTGTTTCTTTAAATATGAGATCATTATCTCCACTTTAAGAAGCTAACGAGTGGAGGGGATGCAGGGGTGCGTTCTACGGCAGGGGTGCAGTCTACGGCACAACACCTGTCATTAAAACACCCGGGTGATGTCGCTTTCAAATGCGTGAACATGCTCGATGTGTTTCCACTGTCATATGGCTTTCTTATGCCACAGTGCCTACACACCTTCGCAGTTTTGTCCACTGACCTCTTTCCTTCCTCATCATAGTTGACAGGGAAGCCAAATTTTTTTTTTCAGAAATCGAACCGCGGGTAACGTGTGTGCCGAACCGATGACGTCGATCCGAACGGATCACGGATCAATGATGATCCGTTGCACCACTAAACCTTACACACACCATATCCATCTTATTTGAGAGTGTGAAGGACGCCCTCTGCAGCGCTTACAGCGACGTTAATTGAGGAGCTGCCTTCTCTAGCCATCGAGTGGCATTGCTGTCTTCAGACATCTCTTGATCTCTTTGACTACTTCACGAACATTGTAATACGCCTCGACGGTGGTGGATGTAAAGGCGAGGAGAGGAGCTCATGTTATTGGTCAATACAGGTCTCGGCTGTGTTAAACCCCTCCACGTGCTCTCTCCTCCCTCACTCAAATATTTAGTTACTCAAAATCTGTTCTACATTACATGCTGATGTCATGTGAATGAGCTAGCCTATGTAATGTATGGATGTTCGTTTCATTATTAAACCTTGTGTAACTAATTGTTGTTTACACAAATGTTGAATTATTGAAGTGTTTTCAATAT